TTTTTAAAGAGGTTTAATTTCTAATTTGCTGGGGGGATTTTCTTGCTTGTTTAGTATGTAGGTTGAGGCAGCACAGATTTTAAATAACTGTAAAGAGAAAATCGAGGGCAGTAGCAGCACAGTGGATAGAGTGCTGGACCTGAAGTCAGGAAGCCTCGTCTTCTTGAGTTCAGATCTGGCCTCAGACACTTACTAGCTGTGTGACTCTGGGCAAGTCACTTCACCTTGTTTGCCTCAGTTTCCTCATCTGTAAAATGAACTAGAGAAGGAAACGGCAAACCACTCCAGTATCTTTACTAGGAAAACCCCAAATGGGGCCAAGAAGAGTCAGACATGACTGAAAAAGACTGAATGACAACAACAAAAGAGACTATCATATGATCCTTGGTCTGTATCTGAGCACACCAAAAAATTATTTTATAGTTAATAATTTCTCAAAAGCTTAAAAAAGTAGAGACGTTTTAAGTGATGTTATTACTGCAATAAAATATAATTCTTTTTCTCTTGCTGAAAAAAATCACTTTTTGGATTACATATCCTGTGGCTAACAGCTGAAGAACTAAAGTTGAAATGTATCTTAACTCGTTTCCCCAAAACTCAGTTTCAGTCTGTTGAGCTTTCAACTATTAATAGAAACACATGATACATAGCTTTTTATAGCTCTTTGGTTGTAACTTTTAATGGATTTATTAAGAATAGAGAAGAAGGAATAGAACTCATTGTTCAAAATCATGCTGACTTACTTCACCCTTTTCCCAATATCCAGGTGTTATTTCTTAAATGAAGTGTAACATCTAATATCTGGCCAAAAAAAGGAGTCATTTATTCAAAGCGCCCTTCATAGGATCATTTTTGTCCACATTTGCACCCATATGGCATGTAGAAAAGAGCATTTCAGAGCTCCCATATGTCATCTTCCTGCCATGCCCTTTCCTGTTGTAGTCTTTTGTGGAATACTAAATACACTGTGATCTTATTGAATACTGTATGTATATCACAGCCTTTTGTATTCTAATAATACTTCAGGGGATGTAGGAGGCCCATTGCTTCTTGAACAGTATATATAGCTTTTATGTCATGTATATATAGTTTGTACATAATCACATGCACTTTCCTTTTTGATTACTAGAAGTCTCAATGCATCTCAACATAGAATTTGTTTTTTGATCAAATTCTAGATTAGAATAGTGATTTGTAGGGGCAGCTAGGTGGCTCAGTGGATAGAGCACCGGCCCTGAAGTCAGGAGGACATGAGTTCAAATCTGGCCTCAGACCAAACACTTGACACTTACTAGCTATGTGACCCTGGTCAAGTCACTTAACCCTAATTGCTTTTAAAAAAAAATAGTGATTGCATAGATGTTAATTGAAATAGTACCTGCTCTATTGATTTCTTCTATGTAGTAATGTTTGAAAATTTTTTACTGAATTGAATTCAGAGAATTTGATAGCAAACAAATCTATTGGACTTTTGAGTAGATGAACTGGCCTCAAATTTTATTCTTTTGAAAATTTATTTTTACTATGTCCTTCTATAGATAGACATTGCTCTTGCTGTAAGTCTAATAAAGTTATAGGGAAAAAACCATGTACCTAGTCAAGATAGCATCGTACTAGACCAGCCACTAGGAAACAGAATCATAGGCACAGAACTGGGGCCATTTAACTAACTGCTTTCTTTAAAACTTATGAGAAAAAATTTATTACAAAAATAAATTCCAAGAACTAGTGAGATTTTTTTTCCCTTCTCATTGTGGATTCCCTTTTACCAAAATCATATTTTCTTTAAAATTGTCCAAGATTATGAGGAGAGGAATATCATACCATCAGCTTGGCCTCGTGTCAGAGAAAGAAAAAAAGGAAGTCAAGATGTGTTTTTCCTTTGATGTGTATAGATATGTTTTTGATGTTCCCAGTAGCCTTTAAGAAAATCATCACGATCACTCAGTAAATATTATTACAACAAAGGCAAGAAATTAGACTGGTGAATCCCCAAAGGCAAAGAAATGGAGATGTGACAGGTTACATAAGTACACACAAACACATACATATCGTGGTGCAGAACATGATACAGTAGCTATCAGAAATATAGATGAGCACTCATAATATGGCAATAATAATTTCTTAAAGCATAGTCACTGATAATTCATGTAATCTTCCAGGACAATGTAAGCTCTTTGAGGTCAGGAATGGTTTCAGTTTTGTCTTTGTGAAAACAACATGGTAGGGGGCAGCTAGGTGGCACAGTGGATAGAGCAGCAGCCCTGGAGTCAGGAGGACCTGAATTCAAATCTGGCCTCAGACACATAACACTTACTAGCTGTGTGACCCTGGGCAAGTCACTTAACCCCATCGCCTAGCCCCCCCCCCAAAAAAGCTCATAGTCTAATAGTGGAGGTTAAGACATGTATGCAGTTGACTAATAATAAGCAAGTCATAAGACATGCTGATGAAATATATCCAAACACACAGAAATTCTCTCTGGTTTGTCGAAGTGATTCTGTTACCAGAGCCGGCTTGTGGAGTAACAGCTTCATGGAGTAATTTGGTATTAAAGGCAGGAGTGGACATAGTAATGGTGAACCCATTAACCTCCTATCAAGTATAGCTAGTTCTATCACACCATTAAAAACTGACTCTTTGAATGCTCACTTTAGAAGCAGAAGTTCTGATTGAGCGCAGTCTAGCAGCCCCTGTGTTGAAAGCATGTAGTTTGATTTTCTGTTGATAGGAAGCATGTCTGTATTACAGTTCCACTTTTATTTCAGTGTTTTACATTGCTATGCTTGATAATGAAGCAAGTGTTGGTATAAAGAAGGTCCAGCTTTATAATCCCCAGGAAGATTAATACTAATTTCATTATTAATGTTCTTATTTAATATTTCTTGTGTAACATATCCTATGGTGTACTGATCACTGCAGACTAACAGCACAGATACAAGAAAATAGGTAATGGAACCTGGATAATTTCTGCAAAGTCAACAAAGCATTACTTCCTGGAGAATACTAGGGTCATGTAACCTGCAACACACAGATCTAGCTTGTAATCCTCTAAATCCTCCTTGGCCACATGTAATGAAAAGACATTATAGGATTATGTAATTTTGGCAGCAGGCTTTTTAAGTGATGGGGAACTAGTAAGTTTTAGACATGATGACATAGTTAAAGATTTTGGCAAAGGAGGACATCAAACTTTAGATTCAGATGAAGGTCAGGCCTGCTGAGTGGCAGCTTCATGTGTCATAGAAGATGAAGAGATTTCAGAGTATCTCGGTATTTGTGTTTCTTGTGCCAGTAACACTTGAAAAGTAGGAAAATGCATTTTTTTAGAATTTGGAAGAGCAGAAATGGAAGTTTGTGTTGCCTTGAACACAACATGGTATAGTAGAAAGAATAGATATGGAAGTTCTCAGAGGACCTGGTCCCCCACCATTGACTTTCTTTTTGACCTTGGACAAGACGCTTATTCTCCTATGTCTCAGTTTCTGCAGCTTTAAAATGGTTATATAATATTGATCTTTCCACTTCCATTCCAACCTCTCTCTATCTTTCTCTCCTCACTGCCAGATGACTGACCGTAAGGTCATTACCTTATGCATAAATCTATTTATGTCAATCTTTTTCAAAACCCTTTGGTGAGAAACCCTGTTGCTTATGGAATAAAACCCCAACTTCTTAGCCACCTGTTTGATATCTTCCATGGTTTGCAGCCAAACTTACCTTCCTAGACTGCCTATCAAGTTCTATAAACTAGTCAAAGTAGACTACTTCTCCCATGAATACACAAAGGTGAGAGATTTCTCACCTCTGCACCTTTGCTACTTATGTTTCTTAAGTGTAGCATGTGCTCCTGTTGTTCTCCTGCCCTCCAGCAGCTCCAGTATCTCCTCCTCCAGTCCAGTCAGTTCACATGACCTTACCTTTCTCAGAACATACATAACCTTGTTTATAATATTCTTATGGACTTTGTTATGACTAGATGATCTCCAAGGTCCCTTTCAACTTTAACAGTTGATGCTTTTATTTTATAAACTTTGGAGAAGGAAATGGAAAACCACTCTAGTATCTTTGCCAAGAAAACCCCAGAGTCAGACACAATTCAACAACAAAATTTAGTTTGTACCATATCTTTGTATGTGATAATAGATTATGGTTCTTTTTTAGGAGTTAATACAATAACAATTTTAGATGTGCTTTACAGGTCAAAAGCTATTTTTTACCAGTGTTTTCTTCATTGAAATTCATTTTCTACCTTCTTCCATATTGGACACTCAGATCCTACTGGAATGGGGAATCTGTGAGTTTGGGGCTTTTGATTTTGTTGTGGTTAACTTTGAGAGGAGCAGAGTGATTTATAGTTTATTCTTGGAAGTCACAAGATAGCACAGTTAGTGGAAATCTAACGTTAATTCCTACACCAGTTTTAGCCAGTGGCTTCACCATTATTCTCTTAAGACTTTTATCAGAGATTCATAGAATGTCAGAACTGGGAGTAGCTTTAGAGATCATCTGATTTTACAGACCTGCTAATGCTCTCTGTTTTCTTTATGGAAGTCTTAAGGTTTTGCTATTGCATTCCATTTCAGAAGAAATTGATTCTTTCAGATGTATGTGGCAAAATAATGCTGCCATTTTAGTTAATGGGGAAACTGAATTGTCAACTGTGAAAAGGAGTTTTCACTTCTTACTGATATATTTGTGTCTTCTCATGTCCTATTGATGAAGTCAGTTTGATTACTGGGTAATAATCAAAAGTAGATCTTATATTAGGGATTCCAAGGGTTCCATCTCAACCAGCTGCATTTTCCTCTCTTCTTCCTCTTTTTGGGTAGGTATGTAAGTGAATTGGTTGATCTTTTTCTGCCAATGAGCCATTTAACCAAAGAACACTAATGGTCACTGGTAGGAATAAAAATTATAATGAGAGACAGGACTTGCCTGTCTGGCCTTTGGTGTTTATATTTTGAGTATCTTAAGTTGATCTCTGTTCTTGTTTACAGTGTGCTGGAGAAGAAAATTGGGTTGATAGTCGGACCATCTATGTCGGACACAAGGAACCCCCTCCAGGTGCTGAAGCATACATTCCACAAAAATACCCAGATAATAGAATAGTCTCTTCCAAGGTAAGTTTTACTGTTAATCTACATATTTATTATTTTTTGAACTAATTTTTTAATTAACAAGCATTTATTTTCTCTCAGTCCCACCTCTTCCCCCCAAAAAAACAAAGAAGAAAGTCCCTTGTAACAAATATGTGTAGTCAAGCAAAGTAAATTCTCATATTGACTATGTCCAAAAATGCATCTTATTGTGCATCTTGATTCCTTCACCCTCTCTATTAGGAGGTGGGTAACATGCTTCATCAGTGGTAAAACAATTTGTAGGTAATTTGGTTTAGCAATTTTATAATAGAGGTAAGTGATAAAATGAACAATAGATACTATCTGTGGAATGCAGATTTCCATAATGAGTAATTATTGAATTAATTTTTCCCCTCTGGCTCTTAAGGGTACTATACTTACTAAAACTATTTTGTGACAGAAATATTTTGTTTTACAATGAACAAATATTCTGTAATTTTCTGATTGAGGTAAAGGTTAGAGTGTGGAAAGTGTTTGCCCTATGGGAAAAATGTAGCTATCAAGGGTATGGGGGAAAGATGCACCGGAATGGTTCCTAAACCTTGACATCTGATTCAGTTTCTTGAGACCATTTGCTCTTTATCTTTCCTGTCTGACATGTCCAGAAGTAGTTTTTCCTCATTTTTCCCTATTTTCTCACAAATATCTGATGGCACCCTTCCCTTTTTTCTTAGACTATTTCTCCCAATTTGTCCTGGTCTTTTGAAGCTACTTTTTTAAGGGCTCAGGTTTCTAAACAAGCAATGTGGCTAATGAGGATAAAAGCAGTGAGCCTTTAGTATATTTTAAATCACAACAAGGAATGTGCTTAACCTGAGGCCCCCATGAGGAGAGCAAGGAAGAGATAGCGTGTGTGACAAGTTGACGTGTAGATTACAGTCTCTGAAGAGACAAGGGTTCAGTTGGAGCTCTGAAGGATTAGGATTCCTCTGTGTCTTAGCCAGCAGAGTGGCATCTGGGTCTGGGTAAAATGGTCTTTGGGTCATGTGCTTAAGAGGAGGAGAAGGAGGAGGAGGAGGACTCAGTGGTCCTATGAAAGGCTCCCTCTGGAATCAGCACCGATTTTAGGTTCGGTTCCTGCTACTCTTCCCAGTTTGGTCAGGGTTTGCAAGACCACAGAAGAGAGCCAGGTGTTTTATTAAGGGGGTGGGAGGGGAAGCTGGGTTTTGCTCAGGAGGTTCTGATTAGTTTTTTCCTGTCTTTGTAGGCAGGTGTCAATTAGTTGTGAAACTGCCATTTCTGAAAAGAAAATACCAAATTGTATGTGGCAGGGGGAATTGTAGGATGGGAGGAATGTCCAGAAAAAAAACAACAGCTCATAATAGAGTACTGAACAGGAGGCCTAGGCATGTCTAGAACAGAGATGACCCTTGTAGAGGAAGAGCTAGCTAGGTTCAATACACCAGAGAGTTATTGGACTCTAACACAATTCTCATTGTTCCTCCCATAGGGAAATCTTTGGGACCTCTCTGGTACTAGAGGATGCCAGTAATTTCTTTGATATCAGTAGAAGGCAGACTGCACTGGGGAGCATCATAAAAATAGGATTCTGTCATAAAGAACTATTTCAGTTTCCAGGGAAAATTAAGAAAGATTTTTACTTTATCAAGCTAACTTTATCAGAAAACTCAAGAACAGGAACTAATAAATTGAAAGTCTTTGTACTTTTAGAAAAAATAGACTGGTTAAATATTCAGACTTTTAGAGAATGTGTAAAGTATCATTGACTCCTAAAATTCCTTTTCACTTGAGAAGGGTTAAGAAGTGGGGCAAAGTACACAAAAGACTTTCATCTCTACTTTAGATTCAAGAATGGAACTGTGATCTCAATTCAAGGATACTTTGAATGGTGCAATGAAAGAGTCAAGTGAATGATGGTCTATTAATTTTATACAAATAATCATGTTCCTGCCAGGAAAAGCCCTTGGAAATATTGAAAACTGGACATTGGGGCTGCTAGAGAAGCTTTTGTTTACTGCCTAAGTTGTCCTTGGGCTAAGTAAATCTAGAATTATTAAAAATATAACTCTCTTTATAAGAGAATTCACAGTAGAATAGTAAGAACCTTAAATCCTCTTGAAAAGTGGTTAATTTGATTTTCAAAAGTTTTGTTGATGCCCTTTTTTTTCTTACAACACACTCATTTCTCATTAAATTCATGCCACTCCCTCCATCAGTTGAAATCCTCCCCTTCAATAGACATTTATTAAGTATCTTCTGTATACACCATGCACCAAGAGACATGTGTGTGAATGTATGTAAATGGGAGACAAAGGAGGATTGCTTAGAGATCCAGGACTGGCTACTGGCAGAGACCCATTACTACCTGGGTGTGGCCTCCTTTTACACATCCATTACAGTGAGACTGGGTCTCAGTTCACCATCGCTGAGAAGAGGCTGGTCATGCTGAACAAAAGGATAAAGGCAGCTGAGGCACCTTTGAGGATGAGAGATTGAAGAGCTTAGTGAACTGTTCCCAGAAATTATATACCCAAGAGTTTTGCCATTTTCTTCTCCAGCTTATTTTACAGGTGAGGAAATTGAGGCAAACAGGGTTAAGTGATTTGCCCAGGGTCACACAGCCAGTAAGTGCCTGAGGCCATATTTGAACTCAGGAAGATGCGTCTTCCTGAATCCAGACCCAGCACTCTATCCACTGCTCCACCTAGCTGCCCCATTCAATAGAAATTTAATTGCTATTGAATAATTTGTGAACAGGATATATACTACATTAACGCCTCCTCAACCAAAAAAAAAAAAAAAAAGGCCAGCTCTTAAATTTTCCTGCATCTTAAATGTTCATTGGCAGCTAGCTGGTGCAGTGGATAGAGTGCTGGGCTGGACTCAGAAAGACCTATGTCCAAATTGACCTCAGACACTTATGAGCTGTGTGACCCTGGGCAAATCACTTCCCTTCAGTTTGCTTCAGTTTCTTCATTTATAAAATGAGGGTAATAAAAATAGCACCTGCCTCCCAGAGTTGTTGTGAGAATCAAATGCCATAATAATTTTGAAATGCTTGCACAGTACCTGGCATAGTTAGTAAATGCTGTGTAAGTGTTAGCTGTTATTGCTTAGAAAGTTAATTCTTGCTATATCCAAAGTTTGTAAACATTCTGTCTGAGAGGTGAGAAAGTTACTGAATTGTCTGTGGTAATTATAAGATCATAGGTTTAGAGCTCGAAGGCCTTAGAAACCATCTTGGCCAACTCTCTCATTTTATAAATGAGAAAACTGAGAACTGGTGAGATCCGCAGGTATGAAGGGACAAGATTGATACCCAGTTGCTTTCATCCTACCCCTTAATCATGCCATGAGATAAAAAGTAACACTGAAATCTTCTTTTAAAAAATTGAAGTTACATGATTTTTTTCCTCAAAGAAAAGTTATTAACTATGTTTCCTTCTGTTCCTTACCTAACTGTCTTCAGAGAGTTCATCTCAGGTATTACATAACATGTAGCCCCTAAGTTACATTTTACCATAAAATAATGATTAATTTCTCAAAGTTTCTAGGCCACAAAAGTTTATTTGGCAAATACTGTACCTAAATATAGGTAATATAGTAATATATTAATAATAATATAATACAATAATATATTATGTATGTATTATATATAATATATATAATATGATAATATATAATAATATAATAGTAAGTAATATAGGTACAGTACATACACAATACAGTAAATGCCTGTATAATATAGATTTGGAACTGGAAGGAACCTTAGAGATGGTCTCTAATTGCACTCCTCACCTTACAGATGAAAAAATTTAAGGTCACCCAGCTGGTGTCACAATTGTCCCAAGTCTCCAAGACCAAGCCTCAGTTCTCTATGCAGTGTTGGCTACATGTTACTGTTGGAGGGGGGTAGGAGACCTCTGATCGATAACCTGGGCAAGCTGGTCATTCAGGTCTCAACAGTGGAGCAAGAAAGAAGGACAGGGAGGGACACATAGCCATCCCTGTGTAGGAGACGTAGGGATAACAAGAGTTACCTGTTTTTGGAGCAGCCTTGGTTATTTTGTTCATTTAAAATCTCCATTACCCTACATTATGCCTAAGAAACCTATCCCTTGAAAAAATTTTCATAGAGTTCAGAATTCTGCTTTCCTTTGTCTCTGTTTGCCTCCCACCCCCTTGCTCTTTTTTTAGGAAGTTTGTTTTTATTTAAAGGTATGAACAGGACCAGGAGAAATTGAAAACTGTCACATGATGTGTTTTGGAGAGGCAGAGGTATCCTAAGCATCGAGAGTATGACAATTGTCCTCAGAGTCAGGAAGAACTGTTCAAGGTTTTCCTCGGGTATATACTGGCTGTGTGACCTTAACAAGTCATTGAACTTCTCAGGGTGTCTCTCAGACAATTCTCCAAGATGATGTTACAGAAAAATTGAGGATCCTTATTGGTATAGTGAGATTCTTTGCTTGCTGGGATTTTTCTACACCAGTGAAATACAGTTCCAAACCAAAAATTAATTTTGAAATATATATCTCAAATATAAATGACAAAATATCAGATGGCGAAACTTATCTCTTTCTTAGTTGTGAAAATTCTTTTTAAGTCATTCCTTATTAGCAACATGTATAAGCAAGTAGTAACTTTTTTTTAATAGTCAATTTTATTGTGTTTTTGGCTCCTAATTCTCTCCCTTTTACCTACCCTCCTCCCTCTGAAAAAATGAAACAAATTTACTCCTATGTGATTTAAGTAGTATTGTAATTTTTTATATTGGCTCAGCCTACCATTTAACAGTTGATATTTCTCCAGTTATTTAGATCTGTCTTTATTTATGTAAAGAGTGTTTCATTGCATTCATGTAGTTCCTATAGTATTGTTGTACGTAGATTGTGAAGTGTATTCTATAGTATTTGTAGTTATTTTAAATAAAATTCCTCTTTATATTTCTTCCTGCTGTACTTTGTTTCTAATATGCAAAAGTGTGATGATTTTTGTGAATTTATTTTATATTTTGCAGT